TTTTTCTATTACTGGGGATCAAACCCAGGCCTTACACATACTGGGAAAATTCTGCCATTGAGCTGTACCCCCAGCCCCGAAAGACTATATCAGACTCAGTGAAATCTTAGGAAGTTATTCAGAGTTTGAGTGTGACTTCAGACAGCCCAAGGTCACATACCTGGTTTTGGTCCTTGGAGCTTTAAGGACCCTGTAGGGGATGATAGTGTAACTCAGTAGTAGAGCACTTATCTGGCACAATCAAGGAATAATCTACATCAGGAGCAATGCTGACACAGTCTTTGTGCAAGCATCCTGCTGTCCCTGTCAGTCATTTGGGGCAAATCCCTAAACTTGATTCACAGCATCAAAAAAAAAGAAACCAGGTGTGGTGGCACATTTGTAATCCCAGCACTTTGGGAGGCTGAAGCAGGAGGATCAAGTTTAAGCTAACCTGGGCAATTTGGCAATTTAGCAATTTAACAAGACCCTGTCTTAAAAAATTAAAAAAGGGGCTAGGACCAGGGATTTAGCTCAGTGGTTTGGGCACCTGCCTCGCAAGCTCACAGTCCCGAGTTCAATCCCTTGTACTAAAAAAAACAAAAAGGGGGGGGCGGTAGAGATCTATCTCAGTTCACAGGCTTTGGGTTCAATTCCAGTAATGCCAAAAAGAAAAGGAAAAAAAAACCTCGGTAAATAACTTTTATTTTTTGGAGATGGGGTCTTGCTCTGTAGTTCGGGCTATTCTTGAGCTCACCATGTACCCCAGGCTGGCCTCAAACTCATGGCAGTCCTCCTGCCTCAGCTTCCCAAGTGCTGGGATTACAGGCATGTGCCACCACGCCTGGCTTATGACTATTTTTTTTTAATGACATTCTAATTCTTCATCTGTGGGTTTTTGGTTTTTTTGTGTGTTTTTTTGGTACCAGGGATCGAACTTGGGTCCTTGCGCTTGTGCAGCCAGCGGTGAAACCACTGGGCTAAATCCCAGGCCCCTTCATCTGTTAATACCTCTCTTCCTGCCTTGAGAAGGTTAAATGCGATGCACACTGAAGGCAGTGGGCCTGTAGGGCCTGCAGCAGTCATTATTATGCTTAGAGCTGGGCCTGCCCCTCCTTAGGGTCTCAGCTGAGTTTACCTCCTTCCTGGCCAGCAATGCCTTAAACACGTGGCCTCCCTAACCATTTGTTAGTTCCAGCTGGGTCTGCTACATGGGTTTCATAGCCTCCTGGTGCTGGTACTTATGGGAAGTACCTGCTCTCAAGAGGTTTGCTAGTGGTGACTGTCCTCTTACAGACAACTGTTGGCAACACAATAGCTGCGATCCCTGGTACCAAAAGAAAAAAAAAAAAAAAAGACAGGGAGACCTGTGCCTGTGGGGCTGTCTCCCTCCAAGGGCCATCTCAGGACAATCCCCGAACTCCTTGTGTATTGCTGAGCGGAGTTTCCTAAGGAGGTGATCTTGCATGAATAGGGTGTATATAGTACCATAAAAGCTGCACTCAGCATTACACACTTCTCCTAGAATAATAAAGAGCAAATAGAATGGTTTTATGAACAGTTAACATTTGTTGAACTGCTGTTACGTGCTAGGCACTAATCTTGGCTTTTGGGGGGGGGTGGAGTTTGCTGGGGATGGAACCTAGGACCTTGCACATGTTAAGCACTCTACCGCTGAACTAATTTTCTCACCTCTTTGGGGTTTTGTTGTTGTTGTTGTTGTTTTGTTTTGGCTTTTTTTTTTTTTGGCACCGGGGATCAAACTCGGGATCTTGTGCTTTCGAGGCAGGCGGCAGAACCACTGAGCTAAATCCCAGGCTGGCTTCTTGGGTTTTTGAGACAATTTCCTATGTCGATAGACCAGGAGGACCTTAAAGGCTTGAACTGTAGTTTCTCTGGTCTCCTGTCTCAGCCTCCTGAATGCTGGGTTAAGCTCTTTGTGTAATAATAAAGGCATTATTTTAATAATGATGAGTAAGGTACTATTTTAGAGCAAAAAACTATAACGTGCAGAGAGGTTAAATAACCTCCCAAAATAATACTGGTTTTTTTCTTAGTATTGGATATCCACCATAGGGCCTCACAAGGGTTTAATACTGAACCACAACCACCACCACGCCCCATTAAAACTCAGTTCCTACAGGTGAAGAAGCCAAAGAAATAATCCCTTTAAAATACGGTTTTGCAGCAAATTTATTATTTTATTATTTTATTTATTTATTTATTTATTTATTTATTTATTTTTAAGAGTAGGAAAAATTTATTGAAAGATCTTATGTCTAAGAGAGACCGAAGGGGGACCGGAAAGTAGGTTGCCCCACAGCAAATTTAAATAACAGTGCAATGTCTAACTCAAGGCTTTTGACTTCTACACCTCCTCCAAAAAAAAAGTGAGGGTTTTTTTGTTGTTTTTGGAACTGGGGATTGAACCCAAATCCCTCACACTACATCCCCAGCCCTTTTTTTTCACCATTTTTAAATTTTGAAGTCAAGTGTGGTGGCAACTGTCTATAATCCCAGCATGGGGAGGAGTATTACCATGAGTTCGAGGCCACCCTAAACTATACAGTGAGACCCCCTCTCTCAAAATTTTTTTAAATTTTGAGACAGGGTCTTACTAAGTCGCCCATGGGCTGGAACTTGTGATGCTCCTGCTTCAGCGTACCAGAGTGATGGGCTTAGAGTGTGTGTCACCACACCTGGCTAAATCTCTTGCTTTGATCATTGATCTAGGGAGGGAGGGAGGCCCTGGTCCCTCTCCTTCCTCCATGCTCCTGTGTAACCATCCCCTACTCAGCATTGAGGGGCTGTGATATCTGATCTTTGACAAACTCTCATTCAAAGGAATTACATCAGGTAAAAATCTGCTTTAACGGATTATAAAAGGGAGCTTTGCAGAGGAGTCAGTGATGAAGTAGCTCCCTTACCTGTAGGGTTTTTTGGTTGTTCTTGTTTTGTATTTCTGAGGAGTGAACCCAAGGTCTTATACATGCTAGGCAAGTGCCGTACCACTGAGATCCATCTCCAACCCACTCATAGATGTTTTAATAAAAAAATTTTTAATAAAATCTCATTCAGTGGCCTCCTGTGTGTGTGAGGAGGTCACTTAACCTCTTTACCTGTCAAGCAGCTGTTGTGTTTATCAGGATAGATCAGTTAAACCGTGCAAAAGGATTTTGCAAACTGTAGGTGCATGAGAAAGAAGCCCTTTGTCAATATAAAGGCCTAGGTAAATGATAAGGGAGATTAGGAAAGAACTGGCCATTTACAGAGTTGCTTGTTTTGGGAGCATTTGTCAGTCCAAGACAGAAAGAAAACCCAGGTATTGTGGTACATGCCTGTAATTCCAGCACTCAGAAGGCTGAGGCAGGAGGATTGTGAGTTGCAGCCAGCCTGAATTACCATAGCATGACCCCATATCCCAAAGCGGGGGGGGGGGGGGGGCAGGGATTTAGCTCAGTGGCACCGCGCCTGCCTCGAAACCACAAGGTCCTGAGTTTGATCCCCGGTGAGAGAGAAGAGAGAGTGGGGGGAGAGCTTTTTTTTTCTGCACTGGGGATTGAATGCAGGACCTTGACGTTGAGCTACATCCCTGCCTTTCCTCTCTTTCTTTCTTTCTTTCTTTCTTTCTTTCTTTTTTTCTTTAGACAGGGACTTGCTAAATTGACCAGTCCAGGTTTACATTTGCAGTTCTCCTGCCTCAGCCTCCTAGAATGCTGGTATTATAGGCATGTGTCACCATATCCAGTTATGGTGAACATATTTCTTAGGAAAGCTCATGACAGATTTGGCATCAAGAAAGGTGGCATAGTGAAGCCATTTGAAAGCCGGGCTGGAAGAAGGTGAGATATTAGCTATATAGCATCATACAAGACCCTGGCCCAGACAGGGGCTTCTCTGATCCCTGCGCCCTTGCCCATTCCAAACAGGCTCATAGCCTGAGCACAGTGATGTACTACTTCACTGACTAGGTTCATGGCCTTATGCTTGCACTGTGGGGAACAAGACAGAACACCTCCCTACACTGATGAAGATTATATTTCACTTAGGGTAAACAGATGAAATAAACCAGAAAAAAAATACTGTGAAAATTAAAACAGGATGGCTAAATAGAGTTTGTCTGGCTGACTGAGCAGTCTGGGGGAACATCCCTGAGAAAGTGAGAGATACAAGATCAGCTCTCGGGGCTGGGGATTTTAGCCCAGTGGCAATGTGCCCGCCTTGAAAGCACAAGGTCCTGAGTTCCATCCCTGGTACCAAAAAAAAAAAAAACTATAAGATCAGCTCCCAGCAGGAAGGAGCCTACCACAGGGCCACAGGGGGAATAGAGACAGGATGGAGTGATCCTAGAGAGGAAACAGACAAGGGCAGCCAGTCTAGCTAGACCCCTCCCCTAGGGAGGGAGTAGAGATGAAATCAAAGTGGAAAGGAGGAGGTGATCTCCTGGGACTTGTGGGTGGGGGGGAGTCCCAAGGGAATGGGTAAAGGAACAGGTAAGACTGTTTATCATTCTTTAAGAAGATTAATAGTGGAGGGGCTCCAAGAATTAGAGATACCTGGTGGGGGTAGGAGTGGGCTGGAAGTGACTGCATTCTTATTAACAAGAAGGAGGGAAGAAGAAGCAAGGTGTGGATTTTGGAGGGCTTATGGATTTGGTGGTGGAGGGATTAGAAGCATCTTTCTGGTTATCTTTTTCGTTTAGGGGGGACTGGGGTTTTGAGTTTTCTGTTTTGTTTCATTTTGTTTTGTTGTGGCACTGCGGGTAGAACCAAGGACCTCGTACATGCCAGGGAAGGGCTCTGCCACTGAGCTGCACCTCCAGCTGGTTATCTTTTCCTTGGAATGGGTACAAGTTCGCTGCTGAGAAGTAGGGCAGGGCCTGCCTAGAGAGAAGGCAGAAAACGCCTGTCCCTGCTCCCCAGGAAGTCACACCATGTACCCTCCCCTAGCAGGTCCTCTGCCTAGCTCTCTGACTAGGGTTGGCTATATCTCACACCCAGTCCTCATTTTTCCCCTCATAGCAGCCTTCTTAGCTGCTGCCATGGAAGAGCCACAGTCGGATCTCAGCATCGAGCCTCCACTGAGTCAGGAGACATTTTCAGACTTATGGAAACTGTGAGTGGATTTCATGGGAAGGACTGATTGAATGCCCAGCCCCCTGTAGGATCACTGTCCCCACCCCAACAGAGGCCAGTAAGAAGCAAAAATCAGTAGTACTGACTTTCTGCTCTTGTTTTTCAGACTTCCTGAAAACAACGTTCTGGTAAGGACGCAAGTGGGAAGGGACTGGGTACTTGGTGGGCACTGGATGAGGAATCCAGCCTTAGGACTCTCGTTTTACCATTCCACAGTCCAGCTCACTGTCCTCTCCCATGGATGATCTGCTGCTGTCCCCAGAAGATGTTGTAAACTGGCTGGGAGGAAACCCAGATGAAGATGTCCAAGTGTCAGCAGCTCCTGTACCAGAGCCCCCAACACCAGTGGCCCCTGCCCCGGCAGCTCCCGCACCAGCCACTTCCTGGCCTCTGTCATCCTCCGTCCCTTCCCATAAGACCTACCAAGGCAACTATGGTTTCCATCTGGGCTTCCTTCAGTCTGGGACGGCCAAATCTGTCACATGCACGGTTAGTAGCCCTGAGGAGGTGGCTTCCATGTGATCTTTCAAAGCCTAGCCATAGCCCCCTGGGTTTTTCAGTCCAGAGCGTGGGGATTCCTTTTTAGCCTTTGGCTTCTTGTCTATTTAGGGTTCATTCGTCTATGAACTTTGACCTCTATCCCAAAGTTGAATTTCCCCCCTTAACCTTGGTTTTCATCTTTTCCATTCTACTCTCAGCATCTCTCCTTAGGACAAGAGACTTTTTCTTTCCCCCAGCTACTTAGGCTGAGGCAGGGGGATCCCTTGAGCCCAGGAGTTTGAGACCAGCCTGGGCAATGTAGTGAGATTTTATCCCAAGATAAAAAAAGAGCTTTCAGCAATTAGACTCCAACCCTAGCTACCCTGCCCCATATTTGTTCATTGGATCCTCTTTTTCCTTTGTTTCACTGGTCCTCCAACCTTTGATTCTTTTTCCTTCCTTCCTTTTCTTATAGTACTCCCCTGTTCTCAACAAGTTATTCTGCCAACTGGCAAAGACCTGCCCTGTGCAAGTGTGGGTCGAATCACCACCCCCACCTGGCACCCGAGTCCGTGCCATGGCCATCTACAAGAAGTCACAGCACATGACAGAAGTTGTGAGGCGCTGCCCCCACCATGAGCGCTGCTCCGATAGTGATGGTGAGTGGTCGGGCTGGAGATTGGACAGAGCTGGCTGCCCAGGGTCTCCAAGATTCTGATTTGTCCCTGGTTGCTCTTAGGCCTGGCCCCTCCTCAGCATCTTATCCGGGTGGAAGGAAATCTGCGTGCAGAATATTTGGATGACAGAACCACTTTTCGCCATAGCGTGGTGGTACCCTATGATCTGCCTGAGGTCTGGTTTGGCAACTGGGGTCTCTGGGAGGAGGGTGTCAAGGGGCTAAAGGGGATTGTTGTTGGCCATTGAGGGGCGGTAGAGGACTTCCTGCCTTTCTTTTCTTTTTTCTTTTTCTTTTATTTTGGTTTGGTTTTTTGGTGATGTTGGGGATGGAACTCAGGGCCTCACATGTGGTAGGCACAGTAGAGTACAGACTGTTCCCCTCATGATCCTGTGCCCACTCTACCACTGAGCCCAGCTGCTTCTCATTCAACACCCCCACAAGCCTGTGAAGGGTGCAGAGCAGGTGGGTTGTCCTCTTTAATTTCTCACCTGAAAAACAGAAGTTTCCATAGGCTACAGGCCTCCCTGGTAGCTGTGGATCTCCCCGGGGCAATTTGTCTTCACCTAGGACTTGTGTCCTCCCCCAGGTTGGCTCTGACTGTACCACCATCCACTACAACTATATGTGCAACAGTTCTTGCATGGGGGGCATGAACCGTAGGCCCATCCTCACCATTATCACACTGGAAGACTCCAGGTAGGCAGCCATGGGTCTCTCTTTACACTGGCATGCTCCTTCCCAAACCCCTGCCTGTCCCTGTCGCCTGGACCCTGTCCTTTACCACACTACTCTCCGTCCTTAGTTCTCACAGAGTGCCCATGAGTAGAATCTCCTCTGCTGTCCCTCTCAGTTTTCTTTTTCCTGGCTTTAGGGCCTTTTTTTTAACCTGTGGCTGCTTCCTGGTGTCTCTGGAACTGGAGCTTAGACTTTCTGTGGGACAAGGGCAGTTGGGAGCAGGTAGGACAAGTAGGCCTCACTGCCTTCTACTTCTATCTTCTGGGCTAGTGGGAACCTGCTGGGGCGGAACAGCTTTGAGGTGCGTGTTTGTGCCTGTCCTGGGAGAGACCGGCGCACAGAGGAAGAAAATTTCCACAAGAAAGGGGGGTCATGCCCAGAGCCAACACCAGGAAGCATTAAGCGAGGTAAGCAGGCAGAACAAGAGAGCTGGAGGAGGAAGAGAGGGGCAGTTCTGCCCCACATTCACTCTTCTAACCTTTCTTTGTCTCTTCCCCAGCACTGCCCACTGGCACCAACTCTTCTCCTCAGCCAAAGAAGAAACCACTGGATGGGGAATATTTCACCCTTAAGGTACCAAGTCTGGAAGAGATACAGTGTCTTGCATAAATTAAATGCAACTGGATGAGGGAAGAAACAATATACCCACCATGCTTCTGTAAAGTTAATATTGTCAGATTAAAAATGTGAAGTATAACATTTAAAATGCTATTAACTTTTTAGTTGCTTCGCCTGCAATTAAAGCATTTTCCATCAGGGGCAGTGTTGCTCCATGGACAGTGGCTTCTTGTATGAGAACCTAACTGGAAAACACCAACTTGGCCTGTAATACAAGTGCCTCTCCACCTAAGACAGGATTACATCCCAGTTAACCAGTGCTAAATTGAAAGTATCATAAGTCAAAAGTGCAATAGGGCCGGGGATTTAGCTCAGTGGTTTCGGTGCCTGCTGCACAAGCGCAAGGACCCGAGATCAATCCCCAGTACCAAAAAAAAAAAAAGTGCAGTAAGGGCTGTGATAGAGCACTTTCCTAGCATTCACACAGCACAAGGTCCTGGGTTCTGTTCCTAGCATCAACCAAAAAATGGATCTAACCCACCTAACCTACCAAATATCACAGCTTAGCCACATGGTGTACAGTATAGACTGTTCCCCTCATGATCCTGTGCCTGATGGAGCTGTAGCTTGCTACTGCTGCCCAGCATTAAGAGAGTATCGTACTACATATCATTAGCCTGGGAAAGACCCACATTCAATGTAAGCTTTCTACTCAGTGCCTCTCACTCTCACACCATTATGAAGACAAAAAAATCATAGGTCAAATCATTGTAAGTTGGGCCCCATCTAGATATTTAAAGGACCACCTTTCAAAAAGAAAATTGTTAAAGAGAACATGAAAATGGTTCTATGGTTTTGCCTGATATTTTTCTGTCCCCTTTCACCCTGCTGCAGATCCGTGGGCGTGAACGCTTTGAGATGTTCCGAGAGCTAAATGAGGCCTTGGAACTCAAGGATGCCCAAACTGAGAAGGAGCCAGGGGAGAGCAGGCCTCACTCAAGGTGAGTAACCTGGGGCACCCCTCCCTGCTCCTGCCTTCATGGTAACAGGCAGCAATCCTGTCCTGCTAAAGGTCCCTTAGTGTTCCCTTAGCATAGCACACAACCATTTTCTGCCTCAGGGTCACTCAGCCCTGCCGAGCACTAGCAGGCCTTGAGTGACCTTATTTCTCCCCTCAGGCTGTTTCCTCGTTTATGAAATGGGGTAAAGGGAAGATGAAGAGATTGATAGAAATGTTTGGTGAACATAGCTACAGGTGCTGGTGACCATATAAACTGAAATTCCCTTGCTCCAGACTTAGACTTTTCTAGGCCTTGGTCTCACCCCTTTTATACATTATCTCTTCCCTTTCCCTCTTCTGTCTTTCCTACAGCTACCTGAAGTCTAAGAAGGGGCAGTCTACCTCCTGTCATAAAAAACTAATGTTCAAGAAAGAAGGACCTGATTCAGACTGACATCTTCTGCCTCTTGTCCCCCATCAATGACATAGCCCGACCCCCACCCCATTCCTTCCCTGATATTTGGAACTCTGGGGCTAGAATCCCTTCCTGGTGTAGGTGTGCCTCAGAAATGCCCAGGAGTTCTGCCATTTGCCTTGCCTGGATGCCTCTCAAGAAGTTGGCCTGTACTGGTGTTTCGGGAAGGCTGGTGGGAGCTAGGATGTACCAGCTGAGGTTTTAACTGAGGAGAGTTGGGAGAGGGAAGAAAATGTTCTTACATATACAATCAGAGTTTACAACCAGCCATATGCCTGGCTGGAAGCCGAGTTCAACTGAGCTAATCAGGGAAGCTATGGCAGGTCATTTAATTTCTCCTAACTTGAATACCCATATCTATGAAATGCTAATCATCATAGCTACCTCCCAAGATTTGTTGTGAGGGCTGATAAAAAAATATGTCTGACCATAATGTAATAATCTTATTACATGGGGGCTGGGTCCATAGTTTCCAAGGTTAGGCTGCTGGTTACGGGGAAGGGACTGCTGAGGCTCTGCTGGCCCTGCCAAATACTCTCCAACCTCTTGCTGAACCTTGGCACCTGAAAGGAAATCTCACCCTATCTCACACCCTGGAGGATTCCATCTCTAGCTTCCAGAGGCTCTGTATCTACCATTTTACTTCCCCTACATGCTCAGGGTCAATGTTTTTTGTACTCTGCAAGGCACATCTATACTTGTCACCCTCACTCTTCCCTTTTTATATTCCCTTTTTATATCAGTTTCTTATTTTACAATAAAACTTTGCTTTCACCGGTGTGGTTGAGGAGTGGGTGCCAACACAGACTGCCTGGGCCCCCAGGTGCAGGGATGAGTAGGAGTTGAAGTTGGGAGGCAGCCACCTGAGTCACTAGGCAGTGTGGGCTGGGGGGCCAGCACCCAGATTCCAGGAGGGGAACAAAGGCTGGGGACTGGGTCAGTCTGTGGGCTGCATGACAACAAGGGAGAGGGTGACTCCATTCATAACTCGGGAACCAACTGTCCTTCCTCCCCTCCTGCCAGAGCCGACACAAAGTTCTTGCCCACCCCTGCTTCTAGGGTTGGGCTGCTGTCCCTGGGCAGCCTCTCACCAAGGATTAGAGGATTTAAATGTCTGATTTAGCAAGCCTGAGCCTCAGGGTGGCCATCTGCTCCACAAGGAAAGGGCAGGGTACCTGTGTTCCCGAGGAAAAAGGGATGGGTGCTGCTGCATGAAGAGAGGCCAGTGGGAGGCCTGCCAGCGGGGGTCCCAGGAAATGGGGCAGCTAAGGTAAGGGCTGGGGCCTTCCCAGCATCCCCTCATCCTGGGCCTTGTGCCAGGTGGGTGAATGAATTGAAGATTTACACTGTGCCAGGAAAACCTTTGAAAGGGCTTCTTGGGGTGGGGAGGAGAGTCAGGGTTGGGGAGCCCAGCACCCCCTGCCCAACTAGTTCCTTAGTGTTGCTGGCTCCCAGGGAGGGGGCTAGGGCCAGGCTCCCCCATCCCCTGTTGCTGCCTAAGTCACTGCCCCCGGGAATGGCCAGTAGGCACGTGGCTTGGCCTGCTGCCTCCACAGTGGTAGAGTGCCAAGGCCCACAGGGACTTTGGGGCCACTGTCTTCAGCCTATCGACGGCTTAAACTGCCAGTGGGAGCCCTCTGCCCTGCCCTAAGGTCCCAGACAGCTGAAAAGACTACCTTTGTTGTTACTCACTAGAGAAGGCCAAATGCTCTCCTATGAGGCCCAGATCCATCCCTTTCAGAGCCTTCCCGTTGCCCTTTGGCTTTGCTGGGTGGAGATGGAACTCAGGGCTACATGTTTGCTAAATGAGTGCTCTACCACTGAACACCCAGCCCAGAGATCTTGAATCATCTCTCCAGCCACTGGACAAACCAGAGCTCTTGTAACTCAGTTGTTCTTGCTCCTATGTACAGAACACATTGAAAAGCTCCCTTCTCTTTTAAAAATTTACTGTTAGGCCAGGGATTTAGCTCAGTGGTTCTGCTCCCTGCCTGGTAAGTGCAAGGACCTGAGTTCAATCCCCAGTACCAAAAAAAAAAAACAAAAAATTTACTGTTTTATTGGGGTATAATTGACACCCCCCAAAAAACTATATTAGGGGCTGGGGATTTAGCTCAGTGGCGCTGTGCCTGCCTTGCAAGTGCAAGGTCCTGAATTCAATCCCTGGTACTGAAAAAGAAAATTGTATATATCCAGGATATACAATGAGATGACATGGTATAAACCAGGCATACCTGTAGTCCCAGCTATTGGGGAGGCTGAGGCAGAAGGATTCCTTGAGCCTAGGAGTTCAAAGCCAGTCTGAACAACATCACAAGATATTAAAAACACAGGCATGCTGCACACCTATAATTCTAGCACTCAGGAGACTGAGGCAGGAGGATCTCCAGGAGTTTGAGGCTAGCCTGGGGCACATAGCAAGACCTTGTCTCAAAAAAAAAAAAAAGGCTGGGTGCATGCCTATATAGAATTCTAATGCTGTGGGAGGCTGAAGCAGGAGTATCACAAGTTCAAGTCCGGCCATGCTGGGATATAGCTCCTCAAAGAAGCTGAGTTCAGTCCCCAGTACCAGTAAAAAACAAAGGGCTGAGAGTGTGTAGCTCAGGGATAAAACGTGTTTTGCACCCTAGGTTTAATCCTCAGCACAAAACAAAAATACCCTCAAGAGCTGGTTTGAGGAAAAATGATCAAGAATCAAATGGTCCAGTGTTCATTCTGGGCCACAGGAAAAGACTGAAATTAATTCATTTAAAATGCTGGGGCCAGGGGTGCAGAGGTCTTGCCTATCATCCATCCACAAGACCCTGGATTCAACCCCAAGTACTGCAAGAAAAAACCTGCTGACTTCATTAATGTTAAAACCTTATAAGGGTACTAAAAAGTAGGAACCAAACTAGTTTATACATATAAATGCAAAACCTCTAAAATATCAGGAGTTGGGCGTGGTGGCACACACCTCTACTCCCAGCACTTCGAGGCTGAGGCAGGAGGAACATGCAAATTCCTGACCACCCTGGGCTACATAGTGAGGCCTTGTCTCAAATAAATACCAGGATACATTTCTGAATTTAAAGCAATATGCTATACCTATTATTCCAGGAGCACACAGTTGGTTTAATAGCAGAGAATCTATCAATATAATTCATTATATTAACAAAGAAGAAAAATTATATGATTGTGTCAACATCCTGAAAGGAATTTGATTAAATTTCAGCAGTGATTCCCTTTTTTTTTTAAGGCCTTAATTAAAAGTTATTGCTTTGGGCCGGGGATTTAGCTCAGTGTTTTCGCCACCTGCTTCACAAGTGCAAGGTCCCGAGTTCAATCCCCGGTACCAAAATAAAAAGTTAAACACTAAGATAACTTTAATTTAAATGACTATAGGGATGTCCACTAATATTGGTTTTAGTGCATTCAGGAGGACCAAAAAGAAAGAAAATTAATTACTGGCTTTAAAAAAATGTGTGTCTAAGGGCTGGGGATTTCACTCAGTGGTTCTGGCGCCTGCCGCGCAAGGGCAAGGTCCCGAGTTCAATCCCGGTGTGGTTGAGGAGTGGGTGTCAACACAGACT